GAAAAAAACAAGTAAAATGAATATATAGTGCATGGAAACTTAAATGTCAGAAATAGTGAAATTAAATGTTTTATTTCTTTGTAAGAACATATATTAATAATAATTTAAACAGTGCTTGCCTTTTTATCCTACACCTTGGGGTATGGAGTATCTTTTCTATGTTTAGAAGAATTGCCATATTCCCAAATTTGGATCCACTTACAATGTTTTATATAATGTCATGAAATAGTTTCAACAGCTCCTATACTGTGAAGAATTTTGCTGGGACATTTTCCTTGTTTTGTCATATATGTTAATAAGTTCCCTTTATTAAGTTCCTCTGGCTGCTGGAGTCTCAAACAGCGGTGGGGTCATCATTCCCATAGGCAATTTGCTTTTCTATAACTTCATTTACACCTGATTTGAATTTTACTTCCAGTATTATTACTATTTATTTCTTCGTTTCACTTTTATATTTTGGGACCAGTTTCTTCTTTAAATAATTTATTTTTTGGTAAAGTGTGTCATGTGGGTTTGTTATTGAGAGACAAGGAAATAAAACACAGTGCCATGCTTTGCTGTCTGTATACCAATTGAATTAACAGATGTATATAGTGAATGACCAGTCACTTACAGAAGTGATGTGGTCATGGATCAGGATGTACATCTGTTATTTATATAGTGACTTGTGGGCAAAAGAGATAGCAACAAATATTGTATTTTATGCCGTTACAGTTAATAAACATACCGTGGTCGTGGAATTTGATCTGTGTTGTGGGGGCGACAGGTGTTATTTGTGCATATCAGAACTGTGTGTGCAGTGTGAAGATAGTCTGTCACTTTAATGTGACCTGTTATATGACATTCCATCTTCTGTCTTTTGCTTGCTTTTTTAGATTCATCTCAGAGCCATTTTTTTTTTTGAAACTTTGCTCAGAGCACAGACCATATGATTCTCTGAAGTTTGAATTTCTCTTGTCTCTTCCCTTGTCCCCTATTCCTTGCTCTGTCTTCTCGTGTTGGTTTACTCCTACTTATGCTTTTACGTTTTTCTGTAGACCTTACTTTTTCTGAAAAAGCCTTTTCTGTCCTCTTAAATTTGTATTTAGTTGACCTATTGTATTCCCATATCACAATACTTTCTCTGTCATAATATCAAACGTATGATCCCATTATATTGTGCTGATTTACTTATCCGTGACAACTACTAGACATGGTTTTCCATGCACATAGAGACCTTGGCAGTGTTGTTCCCTGTAAATACGCCCAGAGCTTAGCACTGTCTAGCGCAAAATAGCCACTTAGTAACATTAAAAAAAAAATTAATGAAAGTAATCAGAATTTTGGTTGGAATTGATATTACGGTATCTTTAGCAAGTCTCCTGGAAGAATATAGTATAGTTAAACGACAACATGGGTACTCAAATTATGAAATAGTGGGAATATATAATTCCTTACACTATTAACTGAAATATGCACTTAATAATGCATATTTTTATGATTCTTACTTTTAATAAACAGAAAATACATTGCAGAAAATTAATCACATTGGTAAAATTGCTTTAGTTTGATATGGTAGATAATGAGTCCTTTTAAGTCAATGCAGGGATAACTTAATGTTAAATATTTTCTTTGATTCTAAACTTACTTTCATTTATATCTAAGGTATCTTCACGTTTTAATGATCTTCTGGTCATTTGTTGCTGGCGTTGTCACATTCTACTGTTCATTAGGACCCGATTCTCTCTTACCAAATATATTCTTCACAATAAAATACAAACCCAAGGTAAAATTTTGTGTTCTTATTTTTAAAAGAGTATGTATGACACTGTGCTGTTTAATATTTATTATTGAAAGCATGTTAAAGCACTGATTTTTTAAAAATCCATAAACTGTTATCTAATAATAGACGTGAAAATATTTAAAATGAAATTTACATATGCTTATATTTTAATTTCAATTTATTATTATTATTTAAAGTTTGCTGTAGGATGTTTTTGCTTGCCAGACAGAGAGAGAGAGAGTATGAGAAAGGCTCTTCTGGGGGGATGGCTGACTACGCCACAATCTCTTCTTCTCCGTTCCCCTTTCAGGATTTTGGGCATGCCTAGTGTAAATTTCAAGCTGCCTTGTCCAGGGCTCAAACATGCAGAGTTAGCATGTGGGGTCCAGTGCTTTAACCACCACGCCACCCACTGACCCACAGTTGATTTTAATTTTGAGGTTGGAAATTGGGTTTAGTCATTGGCTATTTTTTCTGTTATTTGGCATGCCAATTTATCAAATATTTATTACAAAGAATGTTTTCATTATTAGTCTCATTAATTTCATTATTTGTCTATAAAAGCAAAGTCATCTAAATTCGTACATTGATTAAGGATTTGGAAAGTTGATTCACTTTAGTGAAGATATGTGAAGTAAAGACCAATCTTTCTCCCTCTCCCAACTTTTCTTTTTTAGCAGTTAGGACTTCAGGAATTATTTCCTCAAGGTCATAGCTGTGCTGTTTGTGGTAAAGTTAAATGTAAACGACACAGGTAAATTAAACACTTTGTATTTTTTGATCTTTGTAGTTACATTTTGCATTTCTCGTGATTTAATTTAATAATTTTCTTTAGACCTTCCTTACTTCTTGAGAACTATCAGCCATGGCTAGACCTGAAAATTTCTTCTAAGGTTGATGCTTCTCTCTCAGAGGTAACTAACTTAATTAATATTTTCAAATATACTTAGATAGAAAATGTTAAATACATACAGATATTTTCCCCAGATGTTTTTATCGAAAAATTTCGTTATGGAGCATCTCAGTATATGCGACCTAATTAATTCTAAGCTAGATAAACAACTCGAATAGTAAGCTGGAAATATTCTTAGATCCTGTGTTAATTGTGGAGTGTTTAGTAAGCTGGAGAGTAAAATGTGCAAGATGGTGTGAGCAGTGAAGAGACAATGTTCTATTTGGTCGTTGGGAAAGTCATACATAATGTATTTTTCTTTGTTTTTCTATGCAAAAATGCATCATGACTTTCCCAATGACCCTCAGAAGCTATTAGTTATTGATTTGTTAATGTACATTAAGCACTATACTAAGCTCATACATTAGCTATTAGTTATTGATTTGTTAATGTACATTAAGCACTATACTAAGCTCATACATTATCTCGTATCATCTACACACAACCTATGAAGTGGATGCTAGTATGGGTGGATTTTACCAAAGATAAACTGGAATTTAGAGAGATTTAATAACTTTCTCAAGTTTTATAAATGTTTGGTAGCATAACTGAGACAAAAACTCAGATCTGGCTTAGTTCTTAATGAGTTCTTACATGGCCCTTTAGGAATCTTATTTAGTTCTCATATGGCCCTTTAGAAGAATATAGGGCTATGCTGATGGGGTTTTAGATGAACTGATCCTGGAAGCAAGTAGTTTTCACACTAAATTTAACTAAAATTTTCAGATGTGACTCACAGGATGCAGTGGAAGGTGAAAAGGAAGTAAAAGGTCACAGCTGCTAGCATGTAGGACTCTCCCCTTCAAAATCAGTGCAGCTCCACTTCTCTTACTTTCATATATTGTGGTTTGATATATTTAGGGTTTCATTCAAGAGATTGATGTGATCAGATGTATGTCTAAGATCAGTTTAGCATCTCAACAGAGGCTGTAGAAGAGGGAACTCTGAAGCAAGGAGACTAGTTTAAAATGTTGTTGTAATATAAGAAGGGAGAAAATAAAGACCCCTGCTAGTGTTGATGTAAAAGAGAGCTACTTAGGATGTAATACCATGCAGATTTGGTGATTAATTGGAAATAAAAGAAGGACAAACGAAGAAAAAACAATTATCAGAGAGCTTGAGCACTAGTCAAGAGAAACAGAGAGGGAGAAAGGACCCTTCACTGGGGGTTGGTATGCCATAATCCCTTCTTCTCTATTTCTCCATCCTGCTGGAATTTTGGGTACACATGCACACATGCCCAGTGAGTTTTCCAAGTAGCCAAGTAGCTGGGGCTAGAATTTGATCTGTGGTCAACCACGTGAGATCTAGCTCCGTTTTCTATTAGATTGTGGGGCTGGCCCAAAGAACAAAAATTTAAGGATTTTTTTTTTTTTAGTCTCTCCTGTGTACTATCCTGTTGTTATCTCTATTTATGTGTATCTTAATGTTCTTGGCTAATGCAGCTAATGCTTAGATTTTATAATTAAAAAGTCCAAATTATTGTTGCCTTAATATTTAAGCTAGATAATCCATAGTCTTGCCTATTGCTGCCAGAGAAAGTAGGTAGTCTCATTTGAGAAGCATATATATTGTTTCATTTCATTCCTGCACTACTGCTTTCTTCAGTTATTGCCCAATGCTGCAACTAAAAATGACAACATTCTGCTGTGCCCAGACCCAAGAAATAGAAAGTTTTGGTTTTTTTCAGAGGTTTTTGCTATAGGGTGCATGTGCTCGCCAGACAGATAGCAAGAAATCACCACCACCCACCCCCAGGGGGGATGGTTACGCCGCAGTCCCTTCTGCTCCATTCTCCTCTTGGGATCTTGGGCATGCATGCATACACGCCCGGTGTGAGTTTAAGCCGCCCGGTCCAGGACTCGAACCGCGGTCGACTATGTGGGAGTCCAGCGCCGTAGCCATTACGCTAACTGCTGGTCCCAAGAAATAGAAAGTTTAACCCCTAGAGTTTGTTTCACTTTCATTTATAGCTTAAATACAGAATTTTTTTTTTTTTTTAAAGGAGAGAGGAAAGAAGAGAGACAGGTATATTTGTCAGAGTCTCACCATGTCCCACTTCTGCCTAGTCTCCCAGTGCTCTAGGTTGGACCAGTAACCTAATTTGGGATCCCAACTACCTCACAGTAGTGCTCTCTTCCTTGTGGCACTTCAGCTGGACCAACTTATGAATTATTTTTAAGTGTATAGCTAAAATTTTCACAAAGCAAGTATATCTGTATAACCAGCATACAGATCAAGAAATAAAACATTACCAGCACCCTACAGCTCCCCTCCATTTCCCTTCTAGTTGTTAATTCTCCCTTTGAAGGTGATCACTGACAATTTCGAACCCTTACATAAGTCTTAGCTACTTGTTTCTACATTTTATTCTAAGAATACTGACTTAAAAAGTTCAGAATGCAAAAGACTAATTTATTATTTTCTTTCTTCCCATAGAACCCTTTTGATTCAGTGAAGCTTCAGAGTCAGAAACAATTTAAAAGATTTTTGTTTGATTACGTGACTAATTAGAATTAATACGTCATTCAGTAATAGCTTTACCTTTTTGTGGAGTTCTCTGATTCTCTGAGTGTTTCCTTTTTATTTTTTTTAAGAATTATTTTATTTAACTTTATTTATTTATTTATTTCAATTTGAACAGAGAAGGACAGAGAGAGAGAGAACAAGCCTCCGGTCTGGGAATCAAACCGTGGTTGGCCGTGTGGGAGGCCAGCGCCCTTAACTACCATGCCACCTGCTGGCCCCCTCTTTTTTTTAGAATTATTTTATTTAACTTTATTTATTTTAATTTGACCAGAGAGGGAGGAGGGGGAGAGAGAGAAAGAGAGAGAGAAAGTGAGAAAGCAAGGCTTTTCCGAGTGTTTTCTTACGTACTCTCTTATTCACCGAACCATGCAGGGCTGAAATACACATTTTATCATGTGAAAGTATGATATTACTCTAAGTATTTATGAAAATAAAATTGATTCTTGGAAATATATATTACTAGGTAGTATAGTTTCTTTTCTCTGAATTAATTATATTTTTCTTTGAAAATAATTTTTACACAGGTTCTTGAATTAGTGTTGGAAAACTTTGTTTATCCATGGTACAGGTATGTTCTTTTTGTAAGATCTTATTTCTTTAGTAAATAGCATTTAGTTCAGCATGCTAATGATGAGTTTTCAGCGCAGACCAGGGATTTCTCAACCTCGGCAATATTGACATTTTGGGCCAAAATTGAGTTGTATTGTGCATTATAGGATATTTAGCAGTGTCTCTGACCTCTTCCCAACCGAACCACTCCCAAATACCACCAAGTTAAGTGTGAAACATGGAAAAGTCTCTTCAGCAATTACCAAATGTTACCTGATAGGCATAATTTTCCCTGATTAAAAACCACTGATATAGGCAATTAGTTAATAACCTAGTAAAGAGAAGAAAAACCTAGGCTCTTTTTGGAATAAAAAGTAAACGTGGGGACCAGCAGGTGGCGTAGTGGTTAAGGTGCTGGACAATCCCACATGGCCAACCTCTGTTCAAGTCCTGGACCTCGTGGCTTGCTTTCTTACTTTCCCTCTTTCTCTTTGTGTGTCTCTCTCTGGTCAAATTAAAAATAAATGAATGAATAAATAAAATTAAATAAATAATTAAAAGAAGGAAATGTGGAGTTTTTCAACACTTCTAAATGTAGTGATTTAATAATTGTTCAGTTTTCACATTTTAAGTAATCATAACATTGTAGAGAAAATCTGTATTAAGATGTATTATTAAATTGAAAGATAATTTCAGTAGTTTTCCTGAAAAATTAACATTTTTCCTAAAGTTACTTTTTTAGTTTTTTTGCTTGTTTGTTTTTATGCCATAGGACTTGTATACTTGCCAGAGAGAGACAGAAAGAGAGACATCTCCCCTCTAGGAGGTTGGCCATGTCACAATCTGTTCTCTTCCATTCTCCTCTTAGGATTTTTTAGCATGCATACACACATGCCCAGTGTGTTTTTCATGCCACAGAGTCTGGGCTTCAAACTGTATAGTTGACCTTATTGGATCCTGCTGCCCTAACCATCATGCCACCATCTGGCCCCAATTACTTAAGGGCCAGATGTAATTGGCTCAAACCACAGTCAGTCATGTGGTAGTTTAGTGTCCTTAACCACCATGCCACCTGCTGGCCTAATTAGGGAAGTATCTTAATTCTTCTACAGATCTCTAGATATTAGGAAAATGAAAAGTAGCTTCTCAGTAACTCCTCTTGATTTTGATTTGAGAATTATCTTAATTCTTCTAGAGACCTCAAGATAGTAGGAAAATGAAAAGTAGCTCCTTAGATGCAGATTGTCAAAATTTCTGTTAAGAATGTTCAAGTCTCTTTGATGATGTTTAGAAAAATGCTTAGTATTCTAAAAATAAGAACTATAATGTGTACGTTTGTAAGAAAATATATACTTAATAGCAGTTTACTTAATAGCAATTATGTCTTTGTACTGGAATTATGGGGGGTGTTTGCTTTTTTATACATTTATTCTGTAATATGCATTATTTGTAAATTAAAAAAAAAATAGCATAAATAAATGGAAAAATGGAGGAAGTTCTTTCCTTGGTTTCCAGAAGATGAAACTATGTGTTTATCTCAACTTCTGCTCTTTGCTTTTCTCCTCATTTGAAGGGATTTGACAGATGATGAGTCCTTTGTCGATGAACTGAGAATAACATTACGGTTTTTTGCATCTGTGTTAATACGAAGGATTCACAAGGTATATCTATATTTATCATAAGAAATTGGGGAACTTGGGGCTTTCTCCTTATGAAGTAGGTAATGTTAAATCTTATTTATTTTTCCCTATACTTTGTGTGTTTTTTTTCTTTTTTTTTTTTTAAGTTAGAAAATTAATGAATCCCCTTTTTTTTTTTTTTTTTTGGAGAGATTTTCACTGTAGGGCGCGTGCGCTCGCCAGACAGAGAGAGAGACATAGAGACAGAAAGTGAGAAATCACCCCCCCAGGGGGGATGGTCACGCCGCAATCCCTTCTCCTCCATTCTCCTCTCGGGATCTTGGGCACGCACGCACACGCGCCCGGCGTGAGTTTTAAGCCACCGGGTCCGGGACACGAACCGCGGTCGACTACGTGGGAGTCCAGCAACATAGCCATTACGCTAACTGCTGGTTCCCATGAATCCCTTCTAATTGACCAGTTTTATATTCTTTAATGCTTGGTTGTCTTGGCATGTGGAACTTAGAAATCAGACAACTGTAGGGGGAAAAAAGGCAGTTCTAATTAAGTAAAGTCATTGAGTAGAAGCATTACTTATGATCTGTTTTTTTTTCTTTTTAGGTTTTTCAGCTATATTCTATGTATGTTTGGGTCTTAATGTATCTCTATTTGTAGTATGTTGAATGTAGACAGATATCTTTGTACTGCATTTTCAGTTCCAAGGATTGAACAGTGACTTAGTATATAATATATGTGCCATTAGTAAATTAAGATTAATCTTGTTAAAAGTTTCTATTCTTATTTAAGAAATGAACAAATACAGTTGAGCATTGTAGAAAGACATGCAAAAAATGAATAAGCAGTTCACAGAAGAGAAATGGTAGCTAGGGGTCACCAGATGGTGTAATGGTTAAGGTACAAGACTCCCATATGGCCTACTACAGTTCAAATCCTGGACCTGGTGACTTGAAAATCTTACCAATACAGGTGCATGCATGCCCAAAATCTCAAGAGAAGAATGGAGGAGAAGGGATAACAGTGCGACCATCCCCCCTGAGGGGTGATTTCTCACTTTCAATCTCTGTCTCTATCTCTCTCCTTACACAAGCCCTAAGGCAAAAAATAAGTAAAATAGAGCACAGTATTTAAACATGGTTGTCCAAAGGGAAAAAATAAATAAAAACAAGCATATTCCAAAACAGAAAATTTAAGTTTGAAAGTAAAATGAGACTGTAAAATCTGTAATGGTTTAGCTGAGCAACTATTCAGATTTAAGAGAATAACAACTAGCAAGACTGAGCAGCAGCTATAGCAAAATCCCAGGAGAAGAATGGAGGATAAGGGAATGTGGTGTGGCCATTCCTTTTAGAGCTGATTTCTCATTTTCCCTCTCACTGTCTCTGTCTCTCTAACGAGTTTATGTGCTCTATGGCAAAAACCTTTTAAAAAAAGCACAAAGGATATCACTGTATTTTTTGTTTTGCTATAGGGCGCGTGCGCTCACCAGACAGACAGAGACAGAGAGACAGAAAGCGAGAAATCACCTCCCAGGGGGGATGGCCACGCCGCAATCCCTTCTCCTCCATTCTCCTCTCGGGACCTTGGGCACGCACACACACGCCCAGCATGAGTTTTAAGCCACCGGGTCCAGGACGCAAACCGCAGTCGACCACGTGGGAGTCCAACAACATAGCCATTATGCTAACTGCTGGTCCCATCACTGTATTTTTTTTTTGTCTTTTTAAAAAATCTTTCTTTTTTATTTATTTAAATTTATTTATTTACATTCATTCACTATACAAAATTACAGCATACAAAATGAGATTTTTCTATCCAGAATACACTATATTGGCTCTATCAAGAACATAAACATATGTGTTATTGTCAACAAATAATTTTTAATTTCTTGTTTCCTGTATATTTTGCTTTTTTCCCCATCCTTGATTCCCTCTCTCTCACCCTCTGCCGTGTCCCACCCTCCTCCCACACTGTCTCTGGTATCCATGGTTGCTTTCTATGCCCCACC